AGGAGTCGTAGTCGGTCAGCAAACAGCCTCGTAGCATTGCTTATGCTATGTCGGTATTTTTAATCTTGGTTTTCGCCCTTGCAGACGGCAAGCGCGTTACGTTGCGGTTCATGGCAGGGAATCGTGAAAATGACCCCCCTCCGGCACAACCGCCGACGCCTTCTCCTGCCTGCGACGGCGACGTTGACAGCGATGGGGCTTTAGCCGCATTTCCAGCAGCAGCCGCGTCGGCTGAAGATGTGGAAGAGCTTTGGAGCGCCCGAAAAACAAGGTTCTTCATCGCCAAATACTCGGAAATGAAGGACTTGGTGGGAAAAACCAGGGCACTTCGGTATGTCATCCTATGTCCAAAATTATTTGCAGCTTTTTATTATTCCGTTTCACTCTAGGCAAGCACCAACAAGATAAGGGCGCATGAAGTTCACAATGGCGATGGTTATTGTTGCCTACATTTTACTGCCAGCAATTTACATTTTACTGCCCCCCCCCACTGAAAAAAAATTTTGGCTATGCGCCTGACTGTGACATATACGTTTACATATACACACAAACAGTATGTATAGTCACGCACATATATACACAACGAAGGCATTCGTAATGTTTCATTAAGTCAAGTGATCTTCAAAAACAGCGACGGTGCTTTTGTGTTGGGCATTGCACAACCGCTGTCTTGCCGAAAAGGTGCAGCACCTCCAAGCTCAAGCCATGTTGCAAGTGTAGTGCTGCCTTGAGAATTTGCACTAGAGGGAATTGCATGTTGTTATTCTGAGGCACATCTCTAGCAAGTCTCGCCCTGCAGTCCTTGTGTCTTCACTGTCTGTCCGCATTTCTCTCGCACTGCCACTTTTCAAGATGGTGCAGCTCATTGTTAAAAGAGATATGCTTCTTGACACGTGCTACCCTATCTTTGAACCTAGACTGCGCCGTCGTGTCAGCAAACAAGGTTGCGCAGCTGCATGTTTTACAATGCAAAGACAGGTTAGAATATGGCTGTCTCCTTAGTGAAGCTTTATGATCCAAAAGAGTGATTTACACAATGTTCAACTTCTCCAACATAATGCTTCCCGCACAAAAAGAACGTTCGCAGTTATCAGAAGTGTGTGAATAGTGAATTTCGGAACCTAATCAAGTAAGAGTCAAATAGTAATGGCACCAAATAGAATACAAATAGTAATTGAATACTGTTTGAATAGTAAGTAGACCATTTTCAAAACAGCCTTAGAACAGAACATTTTATTTGAAACAAATAGTCACAAACTTTCGACAAAGGCCATTACAGTCAGTTTGAATCTACTCAAAATACCACAATTACGAAAACTAAGGTAATCTCGTATGCAGCAGGAACTAGAATATTCGTAACATTTTGTAATTGTAGGTTCAACTACGGCATTGACTAGCGTTATCAACGTGAGACTTTGTCACCTCACTTTAAATAAAATTGGGACACAAAACAAAACAATTTACAACCAAACATTGCAGATACAACTAAATATGTAACGGAGCAGATCAACCCGTCATCACAACATGGCCTGCGCACTAAAAGCGGATAACAATGGGCGTTGAAATTTACATCTGCAAGAACAATTTACGCAAACGCAAAACTTGTATCTGTTGCTAGTCGTGAAGCTGCAAGCACTCGTAGTTCCCACCTTTGGTTATTACAAGACGAAGACAGGAGCTGATAAATGCGATACAGCTAAAGTGCAGTAAAAATTGAGCAAGAATGGAGCTTTCAGAAGCGCATTCATTCGACAATCAATATAGTGTAGGTAGTCTTGCAAAAGCTTGGGCTGCGTACAGGTCACATTAGGGATTGAAAGAATGACTTGTAGCTGTTTCGTTGTTTTGGGGTTCTCCCGCCAGTGCCGATTATTAAAAGAATATTTGTTACTTAGAATATGTGCAATTCGATTCGACTTAGGAACCGAATACAGTGCTGTTTGATTCATTATCCAAAATTTTCGAATAATCGAACATCCCTAGCAATTATCCCTGAAAGCTACACATATGAAGTACTAAGGAAAGGTTCATGTGCTACTGCAAGACTTGGGTCACGTTACGTCGCTTCCTTCTTTCCTACTAACTGTGCTTTGCTTTTTTGTTTAGCACAAGAAGGCTTCTGTGGAAGAAGTTGGCTGAGGCCATCAATACGGAGTTCTTGTGCAACGTGACTGCCACACAAGTGGAAAACAAATGGAAGTCGCTGGACAGAGCATATAAAAAGTCAAAAAAAGACAACAATTCTTCAGGTCACCACCGTGTGAACTGTGAATATGAAGAGTAAGTTACGATTGTGTCTTCATATCTTCAGTGATTCTCATAGTGTCTATTACAGAGAGCTGGCAGAAGTCTTGGAAAAAGAACATAGTGTAAATCCAAGGCTGCTCTTGGAGCCTGGAAAAACAATCCTGCCTAGTGCAAGTCCAGAGTAAGTAAAAATTACTTAATTTGTGCTGTAGCCTGGAAATGACATGGCACCTGTACAATTACTTTCAACAGCACCAGCATCACTGAAGCACCTCAAGATGCAGCAGTCCCAGTCGAGTGCAACACAGCATCCAAAGTTCGGAGCAGCACAACGCCAAAAAGGAAGCGCCAGAGTAGGTCCAAGTCACGCCGCTCTTGGAGGCATTAGAAAAAATGCAAGCTTCGAGAGCTAAGCAAGAGGAGGCAGCAGTGAAACAACTGGAGGAAAGAAAAAAATGGGAAGAGGCAAAGGCAAAGCGGCATGATGAGCGCATGCAGCGATTCGATCGGTTGATCGACGTACTCTCAAATAAGGACGGGTTATAATATGGGCAATAAACTTTTATAACACTAGCAGTGTCTACTCCATCTAATTTGTTAAAAAAAAACATTGCTTCTAGACGCGGCACCCCACTTCGCAAAACATTTGCACACTGAATAAATCGCGAAGCAAAGATGAACTTCTAGCACTGTTCCTTTGCAATGAACTCTCGCAGAGACTGACTGTAGCCTGGCAGACTGCAATCAAAATCTCCTTCACTTTCATCATTGCCCACATCTTCTTCTTGGGGAAGCGTTGCAAGTTCCTCAAGGAAGTCCCTTTCATCGTTGCACATGTTGTGTAGCACACACGCAGCCATAACTATATAGCAGCACTGTTGCACACTTTTTGCATCAACAAGGTAGAGCCTCCTAAAACGCTGTTTAAGCAGGCCGAAGGTGTTCTCAATAAGCACTCGTTGTTGACTGTGTCGTTTATTGAAGCTCTTTTTCCACGTAGGAAAAGAACTTCCATTGTCCTTGAATGGGGTCATGAGCCATGGCATCAGTGGATATGCACTGTCACCCAGTATATAATTGTCTTCACATTCCTGAATTGCGCGTGCAAAGAAGGGGCTCTCCCTCAGGACACGGGCGTCGTGAACCGAACCTGGAAACCCAATAAACACGTTCAGCAACTTGTTCCTGTCGTCGCAGATTCCTTGCAGGATTATCGAAGGCCACTTTTTCCGGTTGAAGTAAGACTGCGTAGATTCGCTTGGAGTGAGTATCCCGATGTGTGATCCATCGATACAGCCGATGGTGTTTCTTGGGCCCTTGCCTTTACTTTTGGCGAGGAAGCCGTTCTTTATGCGGGTCACTTCCGCGCTACTAGGCCAGCAAATTATCTCATCGCTAATAGCGTGTAAGAAGTGAACGACCCGTGTCACACAAACATGAACAGACGACTCGGTAACATCGAATTTGTCGCCTATGGCGTACATAGATATTTGTGAGCCTAGGTACACAAGCGCTATGAGGCATGTTTTTTCGGCACTGATTTGTTGGCGGCCTTGCACTGCCCTTGGGTAGAAGGCTGAAGTCTTGAACTTGGCCCTGAAACTATCAAAAGTCTCCCTGGACAGCCTGAAGAGGCGCTTGAATTCATACTCATGGTACCTGCCGATAATGCTTTCGTACCCGGGTACACGGTTGGCATCGTCGCGCACCAACGCGCACGCGACCAAGATGCACGCATCGTCGTACTCATCGTCGCAGTCACTGCAAACGGCACCGCTGACGGAATCGTCGTCGCTGCTCGAGTCCAGCAATTCCATCGCAGTCACAAGAAGTGCCATCACGGCCGTGTATTGATCGGACAAGGCGGCGGAGGCGGCTATTTTAGGCTTACACTACAAGGTGTTCTCCGGCCTGCACTCACGTCAACTCACGCCTTCGTTTTGGCTGTAGCCGTCGCGCGCTAGTGTCGGCTAGTGCCGAGGCGTGGTTGAGGCTGCACCTGCACTTGCTCGACCGGCGCTGCACGCTCACTGCACCGCTTGGCACCGCTTTTTCTGCACCTGCACTTTTCTGAACTAGTGCAAGCCAAATCGAAGATTCCTTATGTAAAAAGGACAGTGGTGCATCAATGGGGCTTTGTGTGGGTTATGTTGCCCTCATGACGGGAATTATATCCCCTGAAACCTGACCTCGTCAGTGCACCTCTGCCTGCATAAAAAAATGCTGGATGTTATTCAGAGAGGTAATAGCTACAGCAAACAAGCTTGAGCATTCAAAAGTTGAAATGTTGAATTTAAATGGTGAAAAATGCTCACCTGGTGAGAATAGCCAGTATATATCCATCCGGTCAAAATAATGAAAACACTATTTCTTGGCTCGGATCAGTGCGGATTTTTGGAACATTGCGGCTTTTCGTCATAGTTTAGAACGCCAGTTCAGGCAACCTATGGAAGCTTTTCTTTTGATGAAGGCACATCTGGCGGATTTTTTGGGTGTCTGTGGCGAGCTCGGTGTTAACGTGGTCTGCACACACTGTGGTTGTGTTTGTCATTGCAATGTGCTTTGTGAACGTGAATAGTTAGATTGTGTTCGCGTTTGGAACCGCTGAATTTTGTGGTTCGCCGGAGCTTGCGTGAAGGCCACGATGTCTAGGACTGCTCAACCTGTTTCAGTGCTATTTGACATCCGTGATATTTATTTCTGTTGTGCGCGCGGTGGTGACGTTGCGGTAGTCCGTACGTGTTGCCAGTTTTGCGGGGCGCGCTTGTAGTTTTGCGGTTTGCGCGGCCGTTCGGCAACCTTCTCTGGTTCTCGCGCTTGTTCGTGAAATACTTCATTTTACAGGCGTGGTAGCATCGAACTCGTATTAGCTGAGCTGTCAAATGCGCGGTAGTTTAACCACTGCATCGTTTAGAAAAGCTGCCGACAATCCGTGATTTCAAAGTACAGGCATCACACAATGTAATTCCGATGGCTAACCAGTCCAAGTTTCTTCATTGCGTTAGATGCGGAGATAAGTCAATCACGGTCCAGAAATTCACTTGGATAGAAAGTGCCCATGTGACACCTGCATGCTCAATCAAGCCTCGCTATTCGCTTCCATGGCTGCGCGAGCGATGAAAAAAAAAAAAAAAAAACATTCGACTTTGAGCGTGCGGTTATCACCCCACGGTTTCTGCGCATGGAGCAACATGTGACAGTGGACTAGTTGGTATTCCATACTTCGAACTGCTCAGTGCTCAGCGCTAAACACAGCAACACAAGTGAGATAAAGATAAGCGCCGGCATGCCGCTGGAACTTATCACAATTCCCAAATGTGTTGCCCTACACCCGAGATTAAAACAGCATGTGTATGCTGAAAACAACAACAAAAAAAAACGAATTGAAGCATAAAATCACAGACCACAAAAAAAAAAAAAACACACGAAAAGCGGCGACATAGAACTGGCCAATGATTCCAGGTAAGCCAGTTCTTTATTATTGAAGATTTTGGGTGCCATCATGAGGATGAGTGGTAAGAACTTTTGTTTTCTCAGACAGGCGCTGGGAATCGTTTTCTAATTACGAGAAGCCAAAGAAACGTTTTCACCCGTGTATTTTACTTTTTGCGAATTTTCCTGTGACCATTCGTTTAGAAACTTTCCTGTTTGACAAACGCACTGAATAAGCAATCTCAGTTATGTGATTGAACTAGTGCTGTTGAAATACTTTGGAACAATAGCCAAGCTATGCACTGCAAAACTTTGTTGACTGTGCAGTATGCATCGATTACAGCATACCTTGGTTCTGTGGACACAGTTATGTGGTTCAAAGAGACGGTTGTTATGTATACGGCTGCAGAAACATTGTGAATAAGTAAAAACCTTAGAGATGGTTCATTTGCTTTTGATTGTTGAGAATGTGGTCGCCAGCCTCTGTTCTAGAAAACACAAGCTCTTGCAGCTCACCTTTATGATAGCACCAGGATTATCATTGAGGCTGCATGAACAGCTAAAGGAAGCTGGTGACATTCAACGTTTGATTGTCCTATATCATAAAGATGTGGCTTACCTGTATTCATCGTCATGTGTTATTTTGCCTTAGTTTTTTTTTTACAGTTTGTTTCAGTGCACTTTCACTTAATTTTGTTTTCCTACCATGCGCATATTATTTTGGGTGGGGGCTATATATTGTATGTTGTATAAAATTTCAGTTAGAAGCCTGTGATTGCCCTTGTCATTGGTGTTGCTTTATCTGCTGTTGTGCTGACTATTTTCAAATCTCTGCGCAGATGCATTGTATGCATGTTGAAATCGACACAGCAAAAAATGAGGACGCAAGAAGAACAAATACACACCACTGCGTCGTCTCGCAACTACCCTTATAAGAAAGCACACCATTCGAAGGAAACCAAAGGTATCAAACTCCCCTGATCTGGTGGACGACAATCACAAAGGTTAGTCCTGAAAGGCTAGCACAGCGGAGAAATTTGAAGTGGAAGACAAGGGGAAAAACACCAAGTAATGTAATTTAAAAGGCCTTTTTACCGCATCTAATATATGGGACATTTTTAGGAGAGATTTGTCATCAAAATTCGAGAAGGATGATGATACCGACATTCAGAATCGCTAAATTATGAATGCTCATTACGAAATGAGAACATTTACTCCGTTGTTATGCTCTGGTTGCACGGGGTGCTTGTGGAACAAAAGCTTGAGACCAGTTACATCTGTGTAATTTAGCTGAACACGTTATAAAGTGCAGGAGGCAAGAAATAAGTGCGAGTGTCATTTAGCAAAGTGATAAAACTTTCTTCCTGGTAAAGTACAAAACAGCTGCTGCAGCTCTGAACATGCTCACTTGATGCCTTGTGAAATTTAGCAGCGACAAAAGAAGAAACGTCCGTATTAATTCCTCTCCAGAGACTATTCTCATGGTCAATCGCAGGGCCTCGTCAGTCAGCCTCAACTAAAGAACTGACTTTTTAATTAGGGTAAAGGTATCGGCTTCAGAGTGTTTTGTGCAGGCTTGGTCCCTCAAGAAAGGTCGGTGGGACATGTATATCAGGCCTTTGATTTAATCTGCAACCAGTGCCGAGTGTTGTTCTCGCGTGATAATGTGACATAGAAATTTGAGGCAGATTTGCAATTGTGGTGCCAAGACTCAAACAAGTGATACTGAATAACCTTCTTTGTTTTAGTGTCAGTTTTTTTCTTCCTCTTTTTCTTTTTATCTATTATTCCTGTCTTCTCTCTTACAATTTATTTTATCCTCTATTTTAGATTACATTCTATTTCTCTTTTTTCACCTTTCTCCATCACCTTTGGATTCTGTTTCTTCGTCATTCTTTCTATGTGACACCTTGCTCTCTCCCCACCTTTTTTCTCTGTTCCTCAATCTTGCTTATCTTTCCAACCCCCTTGCACACTATACTATAAAAAACTATGATAAATTCTGCTAATGTGCCCGTATAGCCGAGTGGTTGTTTTCGGATTGTCAGTTCATAGATTCGAATGCCATCTTGTAGAGAATTTTTTTTTCCAACATTTTTTTTTTAACTCATTCTCTAGTTCATCAGTCTTAATGCATCCCATGCCAGACATTTTGGCCCATGTGTACTGGGAGCGAAGCACAGCAGGACAAAGATGAACAAGAAGCCAAGGAGAGCATGTGCCTGTTGATGATGGTAGTTATTTCTGTTCTCCCATCACAAACCAATGCTATGCTTAAAAAGCTCCACTCTTAAAATATGAAAAAGTTGTCACATGCACAATCTTTTACCATGTTCCAAATGATCTTCCAATTTGGTCCTGATAAATCTGTGCACCCAACGAGTATCAAAGCATTTTCTAGTGAAATGAAGGTATTTTGACTGTTTCGATCTACCCATCCAGCTAGCTGCCTACGTCTGGGTGCTCGCGTGATCACTTGCTTTACTAGTATGTACCAAAACTGGCATATAAGAGTATGAGTGTATGACAAATATGACTGATGTGTCAGGACTTGTGACATGAAATACCTGTCATGTAAATCATGAAACCCTTTCCCATACACATCTAGTGCATACCCATGAAATGCAGGCATGTCCCACAGGTTATGATCCCACAGTAAGGCTTTGCCTTCTCAAGTATGGCTAAAACAGACATTGGAAATCTTACCGTCATGACTTTAAAGAGTTTAGGTAAAAAAAAAAAATCCACTGTCTGTTTCAGTGACAATGCCGGTGAGTAAAATATTTGTCGCAATAAAGTCAAAAGTGAACCCACGCATTCTGTGAAGCAGCCAATTTTTCTACCCCAGAGTTGTACGACTGCTTAAATTTGCGTCCACCATGGTGGATAAGGGGCTAAGGTGCTCACCTGCCGACCCGAAGTTCGGGAGTTTGATCCTGGCCACGACAGTCACATCTCTACATCTCGTTATAATGCAACAAGTGAGTATGCCTACAAACATTTGTTATTATTATTGACGAAGCGTTAGCCACGACAAGCTGGTTCAGGCAGAAACCCAGCAAGCACAAGCCACACAAACGTCATCTTCTTTCAAGCTGGCACATAGCTGGCGCCGCTCTGCTCTGGTACATACTATTTGCTTTGCAAGAGGGTGCTTAATATATGAAATCAGTGCCTTACAACGTCTCAATTCTGAAAGCTTGATTACCACATGTATTCAACTTTAAAGGAAAGATGTGCCTTATTTTTATTATTCTTCACCTTGTTGCAGGGAGCAGGAGAAGGTGCATTGTCATTTATAGCATGGTATACACTTTATTTTATCACAGATAGATTCATTGTCCTCTGTGGTCTCCAATTCACCCAAAAAAACACTCATACATTTAAAGCCTCCCATGTTGGGTGCCTTGTCTAGAACTGCATGCTTGCTATGGCAAAAGGGGCTAAGAAAGCATATGTTCCTGGACAACATCCATAAAGTGGCTTGTAACGAGCCTGTAATCAGTGTAACTTATTTCATATGACTACCATCTTGCACAAATCACTGGCTTTTGCCTTCTTGCTGAAAGAGTTTGTAACAACGAAGAATTTGTAATTCGTTCACAGTATAAGTTAGTTTCCTCGATCTCTTACCTGTCAGCATCAAAGTAGAACGTGACATTCTTGTGTGCCTTAAAATAAACTGATATTCATAACTATGTTCCCTGTGTGGTTTTGTTGATGCCACACATGCAAGCGCAGTCCATGTACAGTCTAGCCATGTTTTATGCAATGCAGCAAATAAAAACAAACTTTCTGCTGTACGGTAAATGTGCGATGAAGCAAACCCTGTGGGGATTACAACTCCGGTGACAAATTGCTAGCGGAGCTTTTTCTACGTTATACATAATTATGTGGTTGCATCAACAAAGAAACAGATAAAAAATGTTTCCAAGGTAACACATAATACTGTATTAATGCCCTGCTGAGTGTAATCATTTTCTATTGGTATCACTAATTTGTCCAGTCATTTTTTATGATGTGTCTATGCTGAGCATTTTTTGATACACAGTGGAGCAATAACATCCTGCATCTTCAGCTTCAATCAAGCTCTTTTCTTTTTTTGCAGCCCTGCCTGCTCTACAAAATTTTTTTACAGTAGGCTGCTTAAATATGGGACTGTGCTGCGTTTGCCAAGACTGAATTATGCCATGCAGCTTTTTTATGAGAAAGAAATGAAACAGCACCATGATTAAAAGATAAGGTGAAAATGGCAGACCCATGTTGTTTCTGTTGCCTTATCTCTAATTTATAGTGCTGCACGATTCTTTCCTAAAATAGATGTATTCTATAGTACACCTTCAATGTGTGCTACTAAGCACATTGTGAAAAACTGCTCCACACAATAAATGAGGGAATTATTCATTTAGGAGTTTAGTATAGGAGCAGAAGCTTCACTTTGGTATGCATAGGTTCTATAACAAAAAAACAAAACAGAAAATGACTGTACCACTCTTGCAGGAAGTTAAAAGCATGCCAACAATTATAAAGCAGAAGAAGAAAGGACAAAGGATTCCGAAGACCTAGCACTCGTATGTAATAGTATATCACAATCTTGTGCATTTAAAATAAAGCAATATTCATACCCTGATTTTTTTCTATGGCTTTGTTGATGCCAGGGGTGTATGCATTGCCCCTGTAATGCTGTAGCCATGTATGAAACACGGCAAAGAAAGACACTTTCTTCTATATGGTATAAGTACGTCCCAAGAACGAGTATGGATTTGGTGACTAATTACCGATTGGGCTATTTTGAACAAAGAATTAACAGAGTATATGTGGTTGTTTCAACAGGGAAAGAGATAAAACCTGAGACGAAGGTTATAAGCAGTGTTATACCTATGCCGTCCTCAATGTAGTTATTTCCTTTTGTCATCATTTATAGACTCGTTCCATGTTTGTAAACACAGGTAGGCCGACGTTGACATTATGGGTAAAATTATAGCGACGTCCGCACGTAACTTCCACCATAAGGGCTGAGGGTTGCGATGTGCGCCAACAAAACGCCGTTGTGAGTTGCCATAAGCGTTGTGAAAGCCAATTAGCGCTGAGGGCTGCTATGTGTGCCAACAAACAACACTAAGTTGTGAGACGCAACTCGCATCCAACCGTGACGTAGCAGCTCGTCGGCATACCATTTCTTTTTTTTTTCCTCATTGCTTGACTGAGAACACCACATGCACCATTGAAAACCTAGCAGAAACTGCGGTAGGCACAGCGTCTTTTGCTACCAAGACAGCGCCACCGCATTTTTGTGACGTAAGTTCTGTGGAATTTGTCTATATACCAGTCATTCTTTAGCATGTGTCTATACCAAGCAATTTTATGACTCATGATAGAGTCAAAATATGCTGTCTCAAGTTAGGGCAATGTTTGTTGGGTCACATTAATCAGGATTCTCAATGATTAGGCTGCATTTGCATAGACTTGATTTAGCCATGAATTTATGAGGGTGAGATTGATCAGCACTATATAAAGAAAAGGTGGGGTGAAAATTACAGACACAGTATGTGTGTTCATTGCCTTCTCTTTATTTCATCGACAGCGCTGTTATTTCCTCCTAAATAAAGTCCTGCATACACTGTGCATGTGCCACCAAGCACATTCCAAACAAGTGCTTCACAAAAACTGTAAGTCAGAGCCAATTACATCTGGTATATAATGAGTATGCCACTTTTGCCAAAAAGTTATAAAAGCATATGCCAGCAATTCTAAAGCTGGGCAGAAAGGAAATGTCTTTCAAATGCTAGGTATTTAATTGGTAAAAAACTTTGAATATAGCTTTCTGAAAGAATCAGATTTGCAAGGAACTGTAGGGTTAGTACTGTTTAGTTAGTACTGCAGATGACTTCAAGTATGGTCACATATTCCGTATAACGTACGTGTACTGAGCACATACATGTGCATCGTCACTGCACAACAAAATCATTGCAGTTGATGATTAAGGGAACCAAGTTCTTTATATTAATTGCAGCTACATAAACTGCTTAGTGCATATTGGGTTCTCTCAAGAGAACCCAACATGCACTTTGCACCTGGACATATTGTTACGGGGAAGATTGACGGGGCGACAGTTCCATACACGTATCAATATATTGTTGCAAGAGATACTTGTACTGCAAATGAAACAATTTGTGCAAGGAATACGTACAGGTGATAACAGCATGATGATGTGAGACCAATGTGACTATCAAAACTGTATTAGTTATAACAGCCGAGTTTATTGTATGACTTAATTTTTATGGTTCATTTTTCAGGCGGGTGTAGAAAAGTTGTGAGTGAATCATTGAAAAAGGTTTCGTTGTATACAGTATAGCGGTGATATTCCATGCTCGCTCATTTCTTCTTTTATACGATCGTGTTGAACCCACAAAAAATTGATCGGCGCAGGCCGCGCCACAATTAATGTTTGAGAAACTTCTAGACTGCTTTAGACTATTTGCGTGTACGACACGTACAAAAGGTTACTAACACAGTTTTTGTTACTGCGCTCCCAACGCGAGCCTCCGTGATAATGCTCGTTCCACCGACGGTTAGATTATTGATGGCCGTGAACTACTGCGAGTGTGCGTGTGATCGAGTGAACTTGGTTTTCCGGGCACTTCGATTTAAGAGTTTCTTCTATAAACAGCTGATGGCCAAACGGCATGCCGTCATAAACACACATGACAATTGTACTGCACGACTAAGATCATCAGGCGAGAAGCGGTTCTGAATGCTTGACAAATGATATACGTATATCGAACTACGTACTGGACACAAAGCATGTGAGCTTAAGTGCGTTGGCAGGCTAGTTTGTTTATCATACTTGTATGCGTGATAACTTGAGATAATGACGTTATGTTGTCACGAATCTGGTCTCTAGAGATAATGTTGACTCTGATCTACTCGTTTGATCAAAAATTGCACCTTTGTGACCAGAGTTGAAAACGGTGGAAACGAAAACATGTGTGTTACATAGCCCTCACTTGTCATGTTACAATTTGTGCATTTGTGTGTGCATTCAGGCTTGTAAAAGCGCATGGAGATATTATGTGATGTGCGAGAGGTGTTAATTCTTATTAAATAAGTCTGCTTGCCGTGAGCAACCCAAGAGGTTGCCATGAGCAACCTCTTGGGTTGTTCATCTCTCATTAAATGCAATTCATCGCCATAATTGTCATCTGTAAATTATAGGTATATTGCCAAGATATTGTCCATTAATTTTACAGTGAAAGCTGTAATAAGATCACAACAAGAGTCGTGTGCGCCGTAGTTGTCCACCACCGCCCATGTCCGTAACCACTATCGCACGAAATAAGAAAAAAATTCGGCAGATCCCATGTACCTGGGAATCAACGTTATGCGAAGCATGCGGAGGAAAAGTGACTGTGTTGCAATTTTTTTATTGAGCGGCACGTCATTAAACGACGTTTAATATATGTACAAATGTTTCACACACAGACATATGTTGAAGAGTTGGAGTGTTTATACAACCAGTTGTTTGCAGTTGTGCAACGATGCCTACTGGAACATGCATATTAGCTACACCAGAAGCTGATATGAAGCACTTATGCTCGTGAGGATGCTGGCCCTGGACGCTACTACATAATCAACTTCAGCGCATGGCAACCAACCACAATTGACGTTAACCCGACGTGACGGCTGTATGAAAGGAGTAAATATGCAATGCTTATAAAATTGGGTAGGCAGCACTGCAACCACTATTGATGTTTCATGAAGATTAGCGTCTATTTGAAAAATAGTTCCGAGACCTGGCGTAGCTCGTTGGTAAAATGCTTCATTGCCACGTAGAATGCTTGGGTTTGATTCCAGCTGGGACCCAGACATCTATTCTTTGCATTCGTCGGGCCCCGCCGTGGTGGTCTAGTGGCTTAGGTACTTGGCTGCTGACCCGCACATCGCGGGATCGAATCCCGGCTGTGGCTGCTGCATTTTCGATTGAGGCGAAAATGCTGTAGGCCGGTGTGCTCAGATTTGGGTGCATGTTAGCTAAAGAACCCCAGGTGGTCTAAATTTACGGAGCCCTCCACTACAGCATCTCTTATAATCATATGGTGGTTTTGGGACATTAAACCCCCGTATATCAAATCTTTAGCATGTTAGCTAAAGAACCCCAGGTGGTCTAAATTTACGGAGCCCTCCACTACAGCGTCTCTTATAATCATATGGTGGTTTTGGGACGTTAAACCCCCGTATATCAAATCTTTGCATTCATCGGGTTGACGCTACCGATGTCTGGTATTTTTTAACGCTCGCGCATTAAAAGCGTCCATGTGTGTTCTCGTTGTTTTGGGGTAGATACTCAGTGTCTATCACCTGTGGCACATACCCGCCCGTGGGTATGTGCCACTGTCTAGTGGGAAGCGTTTAACGACATATGCAACTGGATTGTGACGTTATTCTTCCATTGACCAGCGCGTCGTATTCGTCTAACTATCTCACCCTGCCATACTAATTTTGGTTCATGCCAAGTTAAGAAGGTGACCAGGAGAGCACCCAAACGTAAGCAGCTAGATAGATAGATAGATATGGTCAAAGTTTCCAAAGTTCGCTAAGAAATGCTTTGCATTTAAAAAAAGCTAAGTAAATTAAAAACACCAAGGACACAATGGGATTCGAACCCAGGTCTCCTGTGTGTAAGCCCAGTGTTCTACCACAGAGCCACGCTGGTGCTTGAAACTGCTGCAAACTGGCCTTAGACAGGTTTGATGTAGGGACAAGAATTGCGTTAATATGAGTAATAAAGTGTTTTAGAACAGCAAAGGAATAAACCGGCGTCACACAATGCAAATTGTGTAATGAGTGAGTCATTGAATGCTCCAACCATTACTAAAGCTTCAGCCGTAATTCATCATCATCAGCTACAGCATCTAAAAATTGCAACAACATTTCTTGCAAGCTTGTAGGGGGTACTACACTTCTCAGAAGAATGACGAAAGATGGCATAGCGAATGCTGGCCTACTATACAATTATGATGATTTATGACGTAGTGGGTACCCTGCAAATGTGCTTGCACCAGTCCCCAAAGAGAGTTTAATAGAGGCTCTGGAAAGTCGCTCTTTCAGCTTTTGCTGTGACTGTGCTGCGTGTTCATGCAGACCTGGGTGTTTTTTATTCCTGTTTTTATCATTTTAGTTGCTTAAGGGGAGATGCTACTCGGAGAAAAAGTTCGTTTAATTTGAAGTTTAGGGAAATGAAATTTTTGCAGCATACATAGGCTTTTATGCTGATCTCTAATATGTAATCAATTTTGTAATAAGTTACATGGTTTTCATTTTGTACCATAGCAATGTGTAAAATATAGTTCTTTGCGGACAAACTTTTTTTCCACCTAATTTATATGGTTCTGAGCCATTGATGGCTCATATTGCTCCACATTTAAGGGGCCTTGCAACACTTTTTCAAGCAGTAATACAATTAATTCAGCAAAGTAGCTTATTGCCTCACAATTTCACGGCTGCAAAAGTTTTTAGAATCTATCCAGTACGAGCAGAGTTACAAAGATTTGTTATATGCTGCAACTGCATTCTCTCTTTTCTCGTCTCGAAAAAACACTGGACGCTAAGCAAGGAGGGATGACACTGAGA